GCCCGGCCCCGCCCGCCGTGAGCAGCGCCACGCGGCCGGGGCGCGCCGTGAAACACGTTTTTAAAGGGCTTTAAAAGCGAAGGAGACCTGCAACGGCAACGGCAACTGACCCCTCCCGGAGCTGCCCCGCGGCCGCGGAGAGCTGGGTCTGCTCGCCAGCGAGCCCCTCGGGCTGCCCGGTGCCGGGGGTCGCCAGCGCAGCTCTCCCGGCGTGGCCGTGGCTGCTGCCCCCGAGCTGCCTGCCCCCTTTGGACGAGCACGCCGCTTTGGGGCTCTCAGGCGAACACGTCTGAGCTGGGCAGAACGACAACACCCGCTGGGCCTGCTCTCGGAGGGGCAAGCCAGATCTTTGTCCCTGGCGTGTCGTCCTGTGCCCGTTCTGCTTGCAGGCAGCGTGTGCCGCTCGCGTCCCCCTCCCCGGCCATCGCCCCGGGGTCCCCGGCAGCCCTGGCCAACGCCGTCCGTCTCCAGGCACCAGCGCTTGTGCCTGGCCGCGGCGTGGCCGGGGAACGCTTCGGCTTTGTCTTGCTGGGACTCGCCCAGGTTTCCACAGGACTTTCTCGCTTCATCTCTCCTGCGGCGACCCCCTGGCTGGTCTGGGGTGGTTTACCGTCGGCAGCTGCGCCTTAAGGCTCCCTGACGCAGGGAGCCCCGAGCCCCGTTTCTTGCCCCAGGTGACCTCCCGCTGGAGCTGTGCGGCCCCGGTTTCCCAGGCCGTGGTCCCTCTGGCACTGGCTCTGCCAATGGCCAGGGGGGCTGCTGTCCCACCCAGCTACCACAGCTGAGGCCCTGCGGCCGCGGGACAGGGCGGGCCGTTTCTATCCCGCCTGCAAAGGGGATCTGCAGCCCAAAAGGAACGTCAGGTAGATCTGTCTTTCTTACCTTCTCCACCACTTGCAGAGCGCCAGGGTGAAAGCAGCCGTTCCCCTGCAGCCCAGGGCACTTACCTGTGGGTGCTGGCTGGGACGCGTCGCCTCGGGGGGTGAGCGGGGGTCTGCTGTGCCTGCTGGTCCCGGGGCCGGGCTGCTGTGTGACTGGGGGCTCTGCAGGAGAGACTGGGCGTCAGGCCCTTTCCCCCACGCCCTGTCTGCAGCACAAGCCAGGTGAGAGCAAGACATGCCAAGGGCAGGAGCCAGGCTCCCACCCTGCACAGTCCTGTTCCCAGAGGGACACGGGACATTTCCCTGACCCCTGCCATGATCAGGCACGCTCCGAAGCAGGGAGGATGCCGACCCCTGTGGATTCCTCTCTGGGTGGCAATCAAGACACCATCCATATTCAGCGTTACGCGTCTGATCCCGCTGCGAAGGAGGAAACTCCCTGCCTCAGTCTTGTGCAGTGGAGATGAGGAGCTCTAGGCTGGGGACTCACCTCTCACCGTCAGCTCAACGGCGTCGCTCTGCTGCACAACCCCGGCCCCAGCCCGGTTTTCTGCCTCGCAGTAGTACTCCCCGGCGTCGGAGGGCCGCAGGCTGTCCCACACCAGCTCGGCCTGGCTGCTCAGGAGCAGGGCTTTCCCCCCCGGGGTGCTCCTGAACCAGCGGTAGCTGATGGGGGGGGACCCGCTGGCCACACAGGTCAGGCTGGTGCTTGCTACGCGCCAGGCCGCGCGCAAGGTCCCCCCCGGCCATGGCAGTTCTTGCTCTGGCTTTCAGTGCTCTCCCAGGAGGAAGAGGGGCACCACTCTCACGTCACCTCTCTGCACGGGTTAAGCTCAGTTCGCCTGTGCCTAAAGCCAGGTTTACACCAACTATGCCACCGTTGCCATATTGCACAAGTCCTGCTCTGTTGAGTGGGTGCCCCCCTTGCAGAAAGACAGAACGTTCTTTCCAGCACACACTGAGGAGGCTCGGGAAGGGGAGGAGGCAGATTTGGCTAGCACAACACCCGCTTGCTGTCTCACTTGCTACAAGAACCACAGCGATGCTGGCTACCTGCACAAAACCAAACCCATATCTGGATGTTATCTCAAGCACCATGGGTTCACGTGTCCCATCGGTGGATCCAGATTGGGGTGTATACTAACTGATCCCCCTTCCCCAGCCCATCCCTACACCTCCACGAGTGGAGAAGAAGGGCTAGCGCAGCGGGGAGGATGCCTCAACACCCAGCCAGGCCGTGGGTGAACGACTATTCCCACCAACTGTGACTTCTACATGCGCTGTGGATTGGACTGGCTACACAAGAGCAGGGCTTTATTGCTGGATTTACCTTTGACAACTTTAACCGTAGTGGTCACCTCCTTTGTTACCAAGCTGTTATTTTTAGACCTCCAGCTGACTTGACAGGTGTAGTGTCCGCTGTCGGGGATTTCAAGGTTCTCGATTAGGAGTGAGGCGTTCCCTGGGCTGTGCTTTGGGACGCTGACCCGGTCTCGGAACTGAGACAACAAGACGTGGTCACCAGAATCGTCCCTCCGAAAAATGGCGGAGGTGCTATAGTCTCGCTCCACGCTCCAGATGAGGGTTTGCTGTGTGAAACCTTCTGAGGGCACGTAGGTGCACGGTAAAGTGGTGGATCCCATCCACGTGCCCTTGACCTGGTGGACACCAGACAGATCCAGGAGGGCTGCAGGGAACAACAGTTGAAGGGGAGAAATAAGAATGCAGCAGAAAAGGAGAACGTCCTTAGGGTAGATGGGAATCGCTAGGCGGTGGAAGCCAGCATGCGGTCACGTCTTAGATGTGCTGTAGACCACAGCCAGCTAAACCAGGGCCTGTCCCCACCTCACTGAGCATAGGGAAGTGACCAGTTCCTTCGACCTCATGGCTATTTTTATTGTTTCTCTCTGGACACTTGCCAGTTCTCAATTCCTTCTCAGTACAGAGAGGCACAAATCCTGCTTCTGGTGGCAGCATCACGCTACAGTCTTCACAAGACCTTAAGGAGCATCTCTTATTCCTGCTCTCTAGTGCCAGCCTTTACGCCCTACTTCTGCTGCTTGGCTTTCCGCTTACACTTGCACATGAGGAGTGAAGCGACAACGGCCTCGCCCCACTGACATGGGATGCTCTGACAACACCACTTGCAGTGTTGACTTCTACCTTCTCTATGGGAGGGAGGACGAACAAAGCAAGTTTACTGCTTCACTGCATGTTTGCATTCGTTAACGTCACTATCTTTTTATGCAACTTCCCTGGTGCTCACAGGACCCAGCAGCACAGCTCTGCGGGGGGAAGCACGTCTCTGTGCAACAGCCTGTCCCAGCGCTAACAGGAGCTGCCAGTTGGGGAGAGCAAGCATCCGTGGATCTGTGTCCACGGGGACAGCCGCGGGGACTGCCGGGGCTGCGCGTAGTGGGAGCTTGTTTCGGACACGGAGCTTTGGTTTTCCTTTAGCAGATGACTTTGGGAGGGCAGGCACAGCTACATTCTTCAAATCTCACATCCCAGTCAAACGGAAATCCTTGATGTATCAGTTTTTAAAGGTTTTCCGTTTCTCTTCTTCCTCTTTTCACATACTCCCACCACGAAAAACTAAGAAGGGTGGAAGCTATTTGGAAAACTGCTCAGAAATACCCTTAAGGCACTTGGTGCACTCAAGTTCAAGTATATTTGCTACCCAGTGTATTCATCTGGACACAATTTCATTTAAACATCTCTCCTGTCTTGTTTTGCATTGCTGTGTGCCACGAAATAGCTGCCAGCATCCGCTGATGCCCTGCAGAGCAGCTGCAGGGATGACTCCAAAGGAGAGCTGATTGGACGGAATGGGAGACATTCAGCAACATAAAAATCCCCGAGACAGCATTTTTAAAAGAAGTATTTCATCCCAGTGACACTTCTTAAACTGGGATGTAGTCTTCCAGACAAACAATGTGAATTCTTCCACCAGAGGGAAATAGAGCTGGACCAGGCAAAAACTTGAAGGGCTATGTTAGAGATTAGCAGACTGATCAGAGGGATTTGTATTATCTATAATGCATGATAACAGAAAAAAAAATATTGAACTCTCATGTTCTGGCCCATTTTCTAAAACGGTTGAGCATCTTCCTTCCCAGCCTGCCAGCACCAGCTCTCCTGGTGGCATGGAAGCAGCAGGCGGGCAGGAGCCTTTAGGGACCTGTTCTGAAGCACTGGACCTGGAACAGGATTGGTGGACCAAACCCAGTCTTTTTGCTTTAGCCTTAGAGAAGTGCAGATCTGAGCTAGATTTCTAGCATCGTACCTGCTTCAACCAGGTAAGCACCCTGCCAGGCACTCAAGTGGGCACAGGAGAAGAGGGGTGGGATTTTGAGGTACCCGGCTCATTCTCCCAGTCTCTCCAGCTGTCTGCCCGCTGAGCCCACCGCTCCTCTGGGAAGTGCCTCTTCTAAGTAGCAAATTACCTGAATTCAGCTGGACCTGGCTCACCTCTACCCATACCCCCTTATCCCGCTCCCCCTTTCCCCTCCTCCCCAGAAAGGCACTGGTTGCGTTCAGCTGCAATAACTCACAATAAGTCGCTTGAGAGGCAGATCCCAGAAATCTGCAAAGCTGGTTTTTTATGATGAAGTGGGGAACATACTTCAACCCGTTTTTCTAAATGTCAGGAGCAATTCTGTGCTTCGGTGTACAACTCGTTAAAGCACCTTTCTCCTGTTTCCCAAACCCTTCCTCTGCCGGCGGCAGTGTCATACGTGCCCTGGCAGCGGCACGTATGCCTCACGGGCACAGGAATCGAAGCAAAGATTCCAGTATCACCTCTCCGAATGCAGCTAGAGAGTCAGCAGATCAGGAGAGACCAAGGGCAATCGTGTGTGTGCCCCCACCTAGTCTCACAATTACAGCTCTTCTTCCCAGGACCGTGCTAGCAGAGCAATGGGGATGCATTACTAAATTGTAGAAGAATGCATATTCCAGGTTCAGAAAGGCTGTTTTGGAAGCTAACTCACCAGAGTAGGTCCTCTGCATGGGTCCTGGACAATCCTGTTCTGTTCTTGCTTTGGGGCATGGGAGCTGACCTTTTGCCCAACACTGCCCTGTTTGCTCCGCTCTTAAAAGCACCTTGTTGTATCTGATGCCAAAGGAGACTCTTGTGAATTCTCAGGCTCTATTTTTCATGCAAGAAACTAAAGACTTTCCACACTTGGTGATTTTTAAAAATTAGGACACTGTAATTCAAAGGATTTTCCCTACCCTCTTAGTACTCTGATTTTTGTTCTTATACATTGAAGCACGTACTCACCGTTGCAGCCGATGAAAGCCTTCACAAACACCACTATCCGCACAGCTTCTCCCATTCTCCCAGAACGCAGGCCCGGCCTCCTTTCCCTGCACTTGGCGAGAGACCCCCACGCTCCTGGGGCCAGAATGCAAGTGAAGAACACTTCCCTTTCTTCTGCCCGTTGTCATCTAGGATCCTCTTTCTGAAATATCACGAGTCCATTTCACTGCTGACTTAGGTGAAGGGTAAAGGATGGACAAAGACTATAAGGACCTTTCCAGTTCCATTTCATATTCCCCTGTCCCCACCCACTTCTCTTACCGTTCTCTTGACTTTTCTGACTAGCGCTCTTTTTTATTATTCTTCACAATTGTGTTTCTTTTTTGCTTTCTTTTCTCCTTCTTTTTCTTTCTTTTCCTCCACATTTGCATTCACTTCACAGTGAAAGAGCTTTATGGTCGCACAGTCAAACATTCGGTAGCAAGGAAAGAAAACTTGAGGATGCTCGTGAAGCATGAATTCAGTTCCCTCTGGCTTGTGTGTGATGGTATCGCTCAGCAGAGTGCTCAGCACCTCTCTCCATTGTACCACCAGGGCTCCGAACCGGGCATCCAGAAACGGAAAAGCACAGCTCTGAGCGCACTGACTCACCCAACGCCGTGCAGGAGCGTGAGGCAGAGACCAACTTATGGATGCTCAGTTCCATTTCCTTAGTGTCTTCTCCTGCTGGTGGTACTCAGCTCTTCCACCGCACGCATGGCCCAGCCTCTGCAGCGGCAGACTCTCCGAGGGCATCCCCGTTCACCTCTGAGTAGGTCGGTCTGTGACCTGAGTGATCAAGACAACCAGCCCTAGTTTCTTTGCCAAATAGTCTGAGCCTTTTAGACCAGAAAACTTAGGATGCCACTTTCTGTTTTATCAGAAAATGTGCAGAGAAGAGGTATTAAAAAACCAGCATCCTGCTCTTCACTATGATAGGAATTTCCCTGCAAAAGCTCCATTTTCTACCACCTGCCCAGGAACCGTGCCCTGCTGCAGTGCAGCTACAGGTGCAGTGATACCTGCCAGGGCCGTGGAGAGGGTGCCTGGGGGAACGAAAGGTTAACAAGCCACAGTCATCTGCATTTACTGTTACCCAGGCTTTTACCACCTACGGGTGATCAGGTGGTCACTGCCTGGTGCTCTCATTTTCACAGCCTCACAGACCATCTTGGGACACGTTTCTGCTGCAAGAGTGCAGTTCATGGGCAAAAGCCACCATGTTTCATGCTCTGCAAGCACACGCGGTGTTTTCTAAGGAGGTGACTTATGGCTGGTGGCAGAGGGACTTTATTCCAGGAGACATTCTGGGCATGCTCCGTAGGGTACCTTTAAAAGTACATCCGAAAGTTATCAATGGGTGTTATGCACAGGATTAACACGTGCCTACTGATTATTACCAAAAGAAGAAGGAATTACAGAAGATAAGAAACACATAGGAAAGCAAATCTACTGACCTAGTGAGTTCTGTTCTGCTTTTAATCATTCACTAAAGCAACGTTTTGGCATTTATTGAATAGACATGCCTTAGCACACAGTTTTAACAACTGCACCAGGAGAACAGTGTCTTTGAGCTGGAGGCAGATGTGTCTGAAGTACAGGGAGCCATTTTCTGTTGGATTTGGGAGGGAAAGGTAATTGGTGGAGTTTTGCCCCAGCTACGTCCCATCACGAGAGAGACCTGTTTGCTTTAGCTGAAGCGTTTATATTGCAGCTGAGCTCAGGCCGTTCCCTTGAAGTGCTGCCATTTGTCAGTGATGGCTTGTTCCCTCTCTGCACAGGGCAATGAAAACTGGAGGCTGTCCTCACCTTCCCAAAGTCAGTAAACTGATAAGAACTGCACAGGTCTCGGTTCCGTCTTCAGGTCTCCGCCTTGGATGGTCTCCACCTTCATGGCCACGCTTGGGTGGCTTGCAGAATGTGATTTCAGCTGCGCTCTGCTTATTGCTGCAGTAAAACTTGCCTGTGGCAAGCACGGGCAGCCTGGAGCAAAAAGCTGAATGTGGTGTGGTGAGACCTGGTGCAACGCATTCATACAAGGTTCCAGGCTAAGAGCTACCACCAGCTGTCATCCTGCCGAGGGAGACGCTGGAGGCAGCAGCACCACCCGTTCTTGCAGAGCATATCCTTGCTGGTGCGGTGGACACTTGATTTTTGCTGCCTTTTCTTCTTGACTGCTTTGCTGAAGCTACCGGTGTGGTACCAGTTCACACTGCCTGTACCCCGTCTGCCCGCTCTGCCACCAAGAGGCCATTAGCTGCGTTTAAGCCCTGCCTAAAGGCAAACAAGCAAACGAAGAAGCGCTTGTTAAAATTCAAGCGGTGTCACTCAAAGAGTGAATATGAGTCCATTTTCAGAGAGATGGTTTAAAACCGACTTTTGCACACCCTGGCCCATGACTGGCGATAGGAGCTTGTCCCCAACAAACTATCATCTCCTACACAAAAGGCTTTAAAAGAAGCTGGATTTTGGGGAACATGCATGAAAACCCAAGCTAAAACTGCTGATGTGCCTACTTTCTGAACCGGACATGCAAGACTTCCTGAAGCTGTAATTATACAGGATAAAAAATGACTATTTAGCTAAAACAAACACAAAGAGCTGTAGTTCCTCAAACATGATGTACATGACGTCTTTCTCTCCCTGGGACAGAGATGTAGCTGTCAGTTTTCTCCTCCCTGAGTCACATAGTCAGCCCATTTCTTTCTTACCAGGGGGACTCCTCATAGTTTTGCATCCGCACACATGAAGAAAAAGCCTTTAACATCTCAGACATTATGGCTGGTGACCTGGTTTGTTATAACGATGTATACTTATGTCAGTGTCTCTGCTTTGGATTGGATCCACTGCTTTCCCGCTGCAGTGCCAGGTGGGTGAGGCAGCCTGCGGCCTTTCCCCCGCAGGCACCCACCTTCCTTCCACACGCTGGACAGGGCACACTTTCAACCACCGCTTCTTCAAGTATCACAGCTCAGGCAAAGTGGCCAGCATGACTCTCTGTGCTGCAGTTTCTGCTACTGCGTCTCAGGCCAGTTAGAGGTGGCACAGTAAAGTCCCCATTTCTCCGAAAATGAGTGCAGACGGGACCTCACACCCTGCTCGTAGGGACCAGCTCTGCAGTGCCTGCACCTTACGCTCGTGTTTTGACATAGTCTGCCGGAGGCTAGAGAAGTTTGCTACAATTTTCCTGGTGATGAAATAAGATTTCTAGCCTGCAAGGGGGTGAAATTCAGTAGCAAGCTTTGAGCAAACCACCAAAAAGTAGGTAACTGAAGAAGAAAGGTCTCAAAGTGCTCTTTTTGAACCATCTGCGCTCAGAAAAAAAGGCAATTTTTACTGCAAGACTCGAGACATTCTTATTTGGTCCAGCCACAGCCAGCTCACAAATCTGACTAAACAGACTGCGGTTTACTAAGTACCTGCAGTTATCACAGGCGCTAGCTACCGATGCTTTTGGTAGCCTCACTGCTATCACAATTCTTGCTCTTTGCGAGCTTCCCAATTCCTTCTTTAGCGGCTCCGTGAAGGCTGGTTGAGCTCTGGTTTTGGCAAACACAAGTGCCGGTCTAGGAAGATCTGCCTTAACCTCAGCTTCTCTTCCTGGCGTGCCGCTGTACGCCATCGTTGTGCTGCACAAGATGCACAGCAACTGCCCTTTTCCCCAGAGATATCCCACACTGAATTAGGACCCAAGCCCTGTCTTGCATTGTCCAACAGCGCATGCAGACACAAAACACGCAGAGAACCTAGTTCATGGATTTCTTTTCAGTTTCAGGAGCTTGCCTTTTACTGCTTGCCTTAAAACAGTTTTGTTTAACATCACCAGCTCCTGGTCATGGCTGTCCAGGCAGTATAAAACTGCTATTTACCCGTGTTTGTATGGCTACGTTGCCTGTGGCTTTGCAAGGCAACCGGAATGGAATTGTTTTTTGCTTTTGCGGCACAGCTGTGGGATACCCGGCAGCCGCCAGCCTTAGGGCGTCAACAGCGAGGGTGCCTGCTGTGCTCAGACCGCGCTGTGGCCAGCCTGCCCTCCCCTGGAAAGCCCTTTGTCTCCGTACCTCTGCCTTGCCTTAGTGCTCTCTTCTTCTTGGGCTGGAGCTCTGGCCACATCACAGCGCCGCAGATGAACAAGTCGCCTCTGCAGCCAGCGCCAAGTCCCCGTTTGGGTAGCCGCGGCAGTCCTGTCGAAGTACTCTGAGCGTGTCGAGCATTACCACACTCCCGCCTGCAAAAGCACAGCTTGCAACCCCAGTGCGCTCACTGGCACACCGGCTGCCTCCGTCCGACTGCTGACACTTCGACTTCCCTGGAGCCTTTAGGGACGTTTCACCATCTAGTGCCAAATCCACAATTTCTCTCTGAAAACAAGGATGAAAGGAGAAGGGAAAGCAAGCTAACTCCCCAGAGAGCTGATAGCAGGGGGGACATTGCTTAAGATAACTGCCTCAGCCTAGCACAGCGCAGAGGGTCTTTCCCAGTTAGGTCAAGACCAGCAGTGGTGGAAATACTGGCAGGGAGGGAAGAGCTCACGGTGCCGGCTGCGTTGCCGTTCTTTTGTTCGTACAGAGCTCAGCTCTCTGCCGAAGAGCCGAGCGTGCTGGTCTGGATGGCTGCACCCATCGCACCACTTACAGAAAGGACGTGCTCTTTTCTGCTCGTTCTCCAAGCAGCACGTGTCACGTCCACCTCTTTGCTCAGATGTTCACGCTGTCGTTTGACTTTGGAGTACCTCTGCTTTCCAGTTGCTCCATGTAGCACTGAAGCCCCATATTCCCCTCGCCATACGCTTGTTTCTGGGATGGAGCTCGGATGGGTGGGCTGCTCTCCAGTAACAGCGACATTCCCTTCCCACCCCCTCCCTACCAAACACACGCACACACACAGACTTTTTTTTAAAACCCCTTTTTAAAGACTGAGAACGTTACTGCAGGGCTCCAAAAACTGCAACCTCATCTAGAATTGAAAGATTAAGAGAACATGACAGTTTCCCAGAAATTTTCAACACTGTTGATTCTCCGTCACATTAACACACTG